GAAAAAATATGAATATTTCCTAAAAGCTAATGATCGAAGGGGACAGCTATAGCAACTATTACATCAATTACCCAATATCCCAAGAGAATTGTTTGTCAGATTCCTTTATATTTATAATGTCCCTTTAAGAGGTGTGCCGCATTGAATTCTTTTCTCATTATTAAGATTATCGCTATATAAACAAAATTTTCCTATAATCTTGGCAATTCTTATAAAAAACATATATATTGACTATAATTCGTAAGCTTTTAAATTCATAACCTTTTAACGCAATCTATATCGTTGTTTTGCTAAATTCATATTATAAAATACCTCTTTTTCATTGTACATTGTATGAGATGTAAATAGATATAGTATCTATTTACATCTCATACAATATTCGTTGAAGATCCCAGTAGTGAGATATGTAACTCAACCAGCGACTACGACCGCCACCACATCCTGTCTAAGTTCACGAAGAGGCATAACTAATAATGAAACAAAAGCAACACCGACTCAAAGCCCCACAGCGTGTCACAATCCTCTGTTATCGGAGAAAAGTCCTACCGGGAGTCGAGTATCGAGGAAGCACGTCCAGTTTCCAGATAATACATCATCATCACCGAGTCAGATAGAGAGGTCAGGTGAGCGTGTATGTTACTTGTATATGCATATCTTGTTTCGGAAGGAACTAAAAATAGAGTTACAAATCTAGAAACGTGAGAAGAGAGAAGAAACATTGCCTTTTTGCTATCACAGATAAAACATCGCGCTTGTATACATATATTTTGCGCGGTACATGCCGTATTTTCATAAATCTGTTAAAACTTGAATATCAATTTTCAATTGTCACAAAACTCTCTCTCCTCGCTTGTCATTGAAAATTGGAGATGGAGCGATTTCATCTCAATTCGAGTTTTAAAAAAATTATTAAAAGTACAATATATTTGAAATATTCTACAAAAAATATCGAGTCTCCGAAATGAAACTCATATTTCAAATATATATTTTACTAACAGGAAAACAAAAAAAATAATTATTTCATATTTTTTAGAAGCTTATGTGCTTTAATTAATTTTAAATTAAAATGTGTATTCAACATTATAAAATGATATCTCGTGAAAATCTATTTTTATGACAAACAATTGTCTTTTCCAAAAAGATTAAATAAACAGAATTAAAATAATTGATTGAAATTTGCGTTTTTGTTTATTAAATTTTGCTGCATAAATAATTAAATAGAGAGATGAAGATTTTTAAGGTATACATATATATATATATATATAAATATTTCAGAAACGCCAGTAGCAGAGATTCCAATAAAATATTCGCCGAAAATTGAACATAACTCGAGGACCTGGCTGCAACCTAATGATGCTATAACGATCGTGGTCAATCAATCCTTGCCGTCGAGCGACGAGGAACACAATCATTGCTCATGAAAAGATGGATATACCTGAAACATAATCACATGCAATTGTTAATAGTCTGAATCTATACATGTGATTGATCTCTGTGAAGTTCCTGTGTTATTATGTAAATATATCGATGGATTTTTTTATTAAAAAACCTACAGATATAACTTTATTTATCTTCTACTTTATAATAACGGTCTAACTACACGATAGAAATTTCTATCCCTTTGCTCGATGCATAAATAGTCCAAGAAAAAAAAATTAAGTTGAAAAAATTTATTAATAAATGCGGAAATGTTAAAAATGAAATTAAAAACGAAATTAGGACCTCGGTATGAAATTTTCGAAAATTTTATTTGATTGCAAACGATTATTAATATAACGATAGATATTAATAATCGTAAAAAAGACAAATTTGATGTCTTACCTGCGATTTCTCGACAAATAGAAGTTCATGGAAACCAGTTTTGTTAGCAAATCGGCTTTTATGAATTGATCAATACTATCTGTCTCCTTGCATGTAAATATCCTCTTTGCCTCTCAACAAGAGAGTAATAGCTTTCTATTGGGACTCTCAGCGCATCAAATACGTGGATTTCGGTAGTCAGATGAAAGCGACCACAAATAAGCACGGCTTCGCCAAAGAGATGAAGATGAAATTTCTCATCGAAAGAAAGAGGGTCTATCATACGGAAATTCAATTAAAGAGCTGACTGTCAGCATGGATTCCAAATTGCTGCCGGTGAAATATCGATGTAGTTGAATAAGCGATGCCCGTAACCAGACCGGATGTAAATCTTCATTTATACGTATATCTCATGCGAAATACAAAGAACGGACAGAAAGATAAAGGAATTGAACAAGCCTAATCCTTATTTCGAGCAATTTATCTTTTAAACTTAAACTTAAACTACGATCTCTGTCTTTTGAAGGAATAACATGGAAGCTTAATATGTATGTATATTATAAGCATATTTATTTCTCCATGCTGCAATTTAATATTACATACATCTTTGTGAATTTAATTCAAAATAAATTTTTATAGAAATTGCATATACTTATGTATCTTAATAAATTTATATTACATGAAATATATAGCATTTTTTATTTTATTTTATTTTTTTCAAATAACGTTCAGTTTGCGCAATTATATATTTCTAACTATATTTCTAATATTTTGCGATTTCTTTACAATTTTCTTATATAATATAGTGAAACAAGTGGTCATCCATTATGTAACAAGCTAATTATAATTATGTAAACAATTTTCAAATAATTTTTTTCTTAGAAGCACTGTTTTTTTTAATTTTATTACATCTGTAATTAATTAATTTATCTAATATATTAGCTTATTGAACAAAGGATTTTTTGTTAGGAAGAAAATTATTTCTTATCGATTAAAGACTATCTCGCTTATAGGTTTGATTGCATATTACAGCAAGAATATTACAGCAAAAGTTTGTAATTTAAACAGAAAGTTGTGAAACACTCAAAGAAGTCCAAAGGAAAGTAGATTATGCCGTTAAAAGCTAGAGTGCACAATAGAGTGTAATCTAAATGTACTTTTATAATGTACTCTCAAACTTCAAGAAATTTTGAAAAGCTTGGAAAAACTTTGAAAAGGAAGAGTATTATGATCTAATATAAAACTATAATATTTCATGAATGTTTTAACTTTTAATGCTTTTATACACTCAACTTATTGTTTTGTAGAAAATATTTAATTATACCTAGCAAATGTAACAATTATTAAATTACCGATGACGATATTGTAAAGGCTATTAACAATTAATTGCTGAGTCATAACGTAAGGTTTTTCTCTGCCAATGACATTCACCATCAATGCAGAAATAAAAGCAACGTATCGTGGCACTGATATCGAGAAAAATATTTACCCAGGAGATTCCTTTCAAA